TTCTCAAATGCTGCTGCTATTTTACATGAGAACTGAGAAATGGCTGCTGGATTTACACATACAGAGCTCACTAGTGACCTCAACAAGGAGCTCTAGTGGCATAGTCCTTAAGGCATTTGACTGCTAACCAGAAGGCTGGCGGTTCAAACCCACCAGCCACTCCATGGAAGGAAGACTGGGCAATTTACTTCCATAAAGATTTACTGACTTAGAAACTGAAAGGGGGTCGCTGTGAGTTGGAATCGACTCAATGGCATTGAGTTTGGTTTTTCTGGTTTTTGGTAACCTCGACAGGACACTATCATTAGAGTGGTTGAGCCAAAGTCATTGAAGGGTTTTAAACAGAGGAAATCATGATATTTATTTTTTAAAAGAATACTGCAGTGGGGACAGTGAGAACCCTGAGAGGAACCTCTTAAAAAAAGGATCTGTCATCCTCCAGAGCATCTGAATTTGAGATCATCCCAAGGTCTCAGGGATGTTGATCCCAGGAGACATAATATTTGATTCAGATTTCATAGGCAGAGCAAACAGTGGTTTTAAAGATGAACTCCAAAAAGAAAATCACTTTGGGGAGATCATCCAAATTACAGGCATTTATATGTAATAGAGGAGCTCTGGTAGCATAGTGCCTAAGGCACTTAACTGCTAACCAGAAGGCTGGTGGTTCAAACCCACCAGCCACTCCTCTGAAGGAAGATGGGGCAATCTACTTCCATAGTGATACTGCCTCAGAAACCCAAGGAAGGGTTGCTATGAGTCGGGTCTGACTTGACGGCACATAACAACAACAACAACAACATACATGATAGAGCTGCTTCTCATACGTACAACTACTGTTCCAGGGTGAACAACAACAGCAGGATTTACTTATTTAGCTGGTTAATGATTTTCCTAAGGCTCATTAGCAAGGTCAGCTGTTTACAATTAGAAATTATAACTCAAATTCTACAAAAGTACTCAAGTTTCTCAATGTGTCAACTTTAACAAACTTAGAGGACACCAACTAACTATGTATCAGAAACTAAGTCAGAAGTACCAGGTAGAAAAGGTAAGATCCTTACCCTCAGGAAACGTACAATATAATGCTTTCCTTTATTTGATAAGGAGCTCTGGTGGTGTAGTGCCTAAGGCATTTGACTGCTAACCAGAAGGGTTCAAACCTACCAGCCACTCCCTGGAAGGAAGGTTGGGCAATCTACTTCTGTAGTGATACTTGCTTGGAAACCCAAAGAGGGGTCATTATGAGTCGGATCCAACTCCACAGCAGTGGCTGCCATTTTGTCTTTATTTGATAAGGTACTGAGTGAAGGCCTTTTTTCTTTTTTGACATTTTTAGAGAGTCTGGAAATTTATGTTAATTCATAAGTATTTAAAATGAAAAGTTAAACATAACATAATTTCATTATTAAACTGTCTCGATAAGTACCTAATGTTGTTGTTGTTGTTATGTGCCGTCGAGTCGGTCCCGACTCATAGCAACCCCTCCTTGGGTTTCCGAGGCAGTATCACTACGGAAGTAGGATTGCCCAACCTTCCTTCTGAGGGTTGGCTGGTGGGTTTGAACCGCCAGCCGCCTGGTTAGCAGGTAAGTGTCTTAGCCACTATGCTACCAGAGCTCCCAAGCACCTAATAGAGCTGGGAATCTATATGGGGTACCTAGTGTCAAGTTTGCACAAATAAAGTGGATGTTTACTCTTAACACAGGAATACATAACCGTAATTGAATTTAATTTAGAAATGCTAATTAAAAGTAAATTCTCTATTCAAGATGTCATTTAGTTTAAAATTAACCATAAGATTTTCACAGAGAAGGTCATTTTATACAAGTAAAAATGCCTATACATTTCTGTTACCAAACATTTCAAATAATCTTAAAGGCATTAGAGCAGGGGAGACTTTATGAACTATTTCATTTGTTACAGTGCTCCATGTTATAGAGAAGCCAGATTAATTTTTATTACAGGGCATTGTACACAAAATAGATTAAGATTCTTCTGTTTCTTCCATTTAAAATCATCATCCTTCCATTTAAAAAAGCAATTATAACACATTAAACTTGGTATATTTCTTAAAAAAAAAAGAACATAGGTAAGTAAAAGAAGTCCTGGCAGCACAGTGCTTAAGGCATCAAACTGCTAACCTTAAGGTTGGTGGTTCAAATCCACCAGCCACTCCGTGGAAGGAACACTAGGCAAAGTAAAGATTTACTGCCTCGGAAACCCAGTGGGGGTCACTATGAGTCAGAATTGACTCAATGGCAGTGATTTTGGTTTTTGGTGTTTTTAACAACTTGGCCTTTGGAAGAGGTGGAATCTTTCTCATATCAGGCTAAAGAAGGTTACTTTAAGTGACCTTATTTTGTCAAGAACACGATCACAGCATAGACAATGAGGGCAACATTACATGAAAGTACTAGCTGCCATCAAGTTCATTCTGACTCATGGCAACCCCATGTGTGTCAGAATAGAATTGTGCTCCACAGGGTTTCAATGGTTGATTTTTTTTTTTTTTTCCGGAAGTATGCAGTCAGGCCTTTTTTCTGAGGCATCTCTGGGTGGAACAGAACCTCTAACCTTTTGATTCTATCAACCGTTTGCAGCACCCACGGGCTTCTGAACAGGCAGGTTTAAAAGTTCAATAATAAGAAAAAATGAACAAAAGAACTCACACTGGTTTGGGACTTAGCACATAGTCATGTTTCTGTAGAACAAATGCATCTATCTTAAAATCAATATCCTTAAAAAGATGGACTATATTTTCCATACAAAGAACAAAATACAATTTCAGACATGATTCCCTGGTCTATTGTAGTTCATTTCACTTGTAAGTATAAATTTATGCAAAAAAAAACCCCAAAAATGCTGCTATTAAAATTATACAGGAACTATGAGGAAACTATGCTTTAAAAATGGTAGTGAACTAATGAAAATTCTTTTAACAATGATTCTTTCTTCTCTTTGAGGTTTTAATTATTTTAGCTTAGAAAGGAACACTGGAGAAACATTTTAGACAAATCATCTTCCATCTATAATGTCTCTGGCTTGCTTTATGTCTTAGAAATCTAAAATATGCATGTAATAGCTTAAAATGACACATAAAGGCATCAAGCCCATGAAAGTTTAGAAAACTGAATTACACTAGAAAATTAGGTATCAATAACAGATCAACCCATAGTACCCAGTACAGAGTAGATATTCATTTAATGTTCCTGAATGAATGAAGGACACAAGAAAGAAGAATGTAAAAAAGAAATAACTACTATTTTCTACATCACCTGAATTCCATATTTAAAACACAGGACAAAGTTAATGAAACTCTGATTAATCATTTTGATATATTTCTTATAATATCAGTTTATTCAAAACCTTATCACTAGCCTTCTGACTGAAAAATTTAGATGATCTCTCAGGGTTCCTTTTGCTTTAAAATGCTGATCCCAATTATCAGTATATGAGATATTAAACTAAAATCTGTTCTTCATGCTTTTTGCTAAATCACATATTCATATCTATAACTCTTAGATATTAACATTCCTAAAGTTATATGAATTAATCGGTCACTAAATAATGCCGCATGTTATTTTTCATAACTTTTTTTCACAAATATTCTATAATTTAGGAACTCCTAAGTTTATTTCAAAGCTTAACCAAAATACCTGGTTTCTTGACAAAGCACCAATCTCAGTTTCTTGATCTGTAAAAGAGCTACTGTATAGATAAAAGGAATAAATGTAAAATGCCTAGAAAGTCCTTGCCATGCAGTAAAACTAGTTGTCACTGAGGCAACTAAATATGCATGTGTGTCAGACAACCCCATGTGTGTTCAAGAAGAACTGTGCTCCATGGGGTTTTCAATGGCTAAATTTTTGAAAGTTGATCACTAGGCCTTTCTTCCAAGGTACCTTTCTGGGTAGACTTGAACGTCCAACCTTCTGGTAAACAGCCCAGTGTGTTAACCATTTGTGCCATCCAGGGATTCAGCCACACACAACGTTCTCAATAAATACCATTATTATAATAGCTATTAAAATCTTCAAAATATGACTCAAAATACTTCTAGATTTCTAATATATGTTGTTGTTGTGGTTGTTATATGCCGTCGAATCGGACTCGACTCATAGCGACACACACACACACACACATATATATATATAATATATATTTTTTTGTTGTTGTTATTTGCTGTCAAGTCGGCCCCAACTCATAGTGACCCCTCCTTGGGTTTCCGAGGCAGTATCACTACTGAAGTAGATTGCCCCATCTTCCTTCCGAGGAGTGGCTGGTGGGTTTGAACCACCAGTCTTCTGGTTAGCAGTCAAGTG